CTCTCTCTCTCTCTCTCTCTCTCTCTCTCTCTCTCTCTCTCTCTGGTTTTTTTCGAGACAGGGTTTCTCTGTGTAGCTTTGGTGCCTGTCCTGGATCTCACTCTCTAGACCAGGCTGGCCAGATCTGCCTGCCTCTGCCTCCCGAGTGCTGGGATCAAAGGCGTGCACCACCACTGCCCGGCTTCTCTGCCTTTCTTTTTGCTGGTATTATTTATTTTTTTGAGGCAGGTCTCATGTAACCCTATTTATTTATTTATTTTTTTGAGGCAGGTCTCATGTAACCCAGGCTGGCCTCAAGCTCACTGTGTAGCAAAGGCTGACCTCGAACCCTGAATCCTTTGTCCACCTCCCGGATGCAGGAATTAACTTTCCCATCCTGTTTTCACTTGAACAGAAAGGTTTGAAGAAACGATTAAAGAATGCCTCCTGCCTCACTCATCCAGCTGGGGTGAACCGCTAACTCAGAACAGCTGTTAGCCCTTGGGCTAAGAAGCCGGTGAAGCCCGTGGAGAATACTCCGGGGAACAGCAGCAGGGTGCCAAAGTGCGGGGTCTGCTGGTCTCCTACACTTCAGACCAGGCTTTCCAAACCGGTACCCAGCTACTGGACCGAAGACCCGACCTTGGCAGAGCGACCAAAATGTGTCATCGCACCAATTCTACCTCCATTAGGGTGACTCGAAGACCTGGCTGACCGGCTGGGTTCTAGAATGACAGGAAACCTTTCTGGCTTACAAGCAGTGGGGCTCTAAGGGAAGAAGAGGCGGGTGGAGTAGACCTTAACTCTCCTCGTCTCCTTGTGAGGACTCTGGCACCTAGATTTCACTTGGGGTAACCTTGGACCCCAACCCCTGGAACTTAACAGGGGCCATCATCCCGTCTGAAAATCCGCTGTCCCCTGGTCGCCCCAGGGCCGGCTGGAGCGCCGGCAACCTGCACCGCCCAGGACGCAGTGCGCTCACCCGGTTTGGGGCTCCGTCTCTCTCTCTCTCGTGCTATCCCCGCGCGGTTGCGTCCCTGCAGTTCCTCGAGATGCTGCGTCCCCGCGGTTCTCAAGCCCTTAGGCACTCCCTTCCAAACGCAGCTTGGGACCCCAAGTGACTGGCCTTTTTTGGGTGCTTGGCGGTATTTTCCGTCCGGCCCCACATCACTTCCCGTGAAGGAGAGCGCAGCGGGGGCGGGCCCTGCGCGGCCTCCACCTCCGCCTTCTGTCACCTGCCCGCAGGCCCCCAGCCACAGAAACTACGTTCGCCTCGCCTGGCCCCGACCGGTCTCCAGGCAGTGTTGAGGAAGGTGCGGGAACCACGGGGAGTGGTTTCGTTTTGAGACCCAAAATGCCATTCACAAAAAGGTCAAACTGCCCCAGGATTCCGGGGAGGCGAGGCGAGGCGTGCCCTGGTGAAAGCCTTTCCCTGGCTGCACATCCTCGCTGGGGATAGCCGGAGGTTCCTGGAAGTGACAGCGAGAAAAGTAAGGTACGATGCAGGCAGGAAGAAATAAGCACCATTCTGGGAGGCGATGGCCAACAGAGTCTACGCGCACCGTCTAATTCTCATTACAGTCAGCCTGAACCCCTAAAACACTGCCACGGCAGTTAATACACAGTAAGAGGAAAATATGAGGTGGCATAACACACCAAGACCCGGCAGGGTCAGGGGCAACCTGTGAGCTCTGCTGCCTCCCAGCGGCCTCTTCTAGATGCCCAGGGTTTTCTTTGAGCAGCCTGGGATCTTGACCCAGGCATGAGATTACTAGCCAAAATCACCCAAAGGTGACTCAGAGCTTTCAGTACTGGCCTTTAGGCCTCGCCCTCTTGTGCTTTCGGAATTCCACATGCAAGACAAGCAAAATGCTGGGGAGCCTGAGTTCGGCTTCTGTCCATCCTAGTGGCCTCCCGCCACAAACTCCAGCGCCCCGCCCACCTGCCGGCCAGTCACCCCTCCAGTCTGCTGCTCCTGGGACTGCATCCGAATGCGGTCGGTTTCTCAACTATGTCCAAGGGGCCCTGTGTGGACGGCAGCTCCTGGAGCCACCCAGGCCTTCACCAAGCTAGACCTGAACAGAACCTTTTCAATCCTTTCCTCTCTATCTGGGGTGAAGAGAAACAGACTCCCCAGGAACAGCCAGGCAATCGTCTTCCTTCAGGCACTAGCTCTTAAGGAGCTACCATCTTTCAGTACCATCACACTGGGGAGCAAACCTCCCCACACAAACCTGCGGGGGACAAACAGCATAGGAACAACATAGTGACTGCTGGTGGTTGGTGTGGTCCAGGTGGAATGCCCACCTTCAGCCCACCTTCAGCGTTCTCCACTTCTGCCGCCCAGCAGCTCCATGACTTGGAGTTTACAGACAGAGGGTACCGTGACCATTCATCCCCTGTGGATGCTTTCAATGAGTAAGGCACTTTTAGGCACATAGGATGCAACAGCAGACTAGGTTAAATTGATTGTTCCCGGCCCCCAGAACTTACCTGTAAGACAAATGCTTAAGTCGGAAACTCCAGCAACATCCAGTAAGGGTCGCAATAAGGAAAGAAAGGGACATCACTGACAGGTGAACAAAGTGCAAGGTGCCTGCATCCCAGCCACTGGGGGGAGGGGGAGGGGCCCTCAAGCAGGAGTTATCACTTGATGCCAGGGTCTGAAGCCAGCTTGGGCAGCACAGTGGGACCGTCTCCACAAAATAAGTAAGTCTTTGAACACATAAAAATAACACCAAATCAAGGAAAGTGATGTGACTATGAAAAGGGAATGAAGGTAAAAGATTCAAAGAAGGAAGCAGGCAGTGGTGGTGCACACCTTTAATCCCAGCACTTGGGAGCACAGGCAGGTGGATCTCTGTGAGTTCGAGGCCAGCCTGGTCTACAGAGGAAGTTCCAGGACAGGCACCAAAGCTACGCAGAGAAACCCTATCTTGAAAAACAAAAACAAAAGTGAAGATTCAAAGAAGGGAAGATGGGCCTGTGCTGTGGAATATTATCTTAAGGGGTGTTACTTTTGCTTATGTGGCCTTTGTTTAACTCTGTGAAGCTGTGTTACTGCGCCTGTCTAAAACACCTGATGGTCTAATAAAGAACTGAACGGCCAATATAGAGGCAGGAGAAAGGATGGATGGGGCTGGAAGACAGAGAGTAGATACAGGAGAAATCCGGGAGGAGAGAAAGAAGGAACAAGAGAACGAGAGAACTTCAGGGACCAGCCACCCAGCTACACAGCCAGACATGGAGTGAGAAGGAAAGAAAAAGTATACAGGAATAGAGAAAGATAAAAGCCTCGAGGCCCAAGATAGACGGCATAAAGTTAAGAAAAACTGGCTAGAAACAAGCCACGCTAAGGCCAGGCATTTATAACTAAAAATAAGCCTCCATGTGTGATTTATCTGGGAGCCGAGTGGTGGGCCCCCCAAAAGAGCAAAAACATCAGGCCTGGAAGCGGAAACAGCAGAGTCCAGGCTGGCCTCCATCTTCCTATGTAGGATGACCTTGAACTTTTGATTCTCCCGCTTCTACCTGAGTGCTGAGACTTCATAACTGCATCACTACACCCAGTGTGTGAGGTGCTGGGCGTGAAACGTAGGGCTTCACAAATGCTAGGCAAACACTCTCCAACTGAGCCCTTCAAAATGAGGGTCAAAAGTGATTTAATTTGGCTTAATGTGTGAGGTAGGGTTATTATCACTGGATGTAACAACTGTGTGTGTCTACCTGTGCCTCACACTTGGCTGTGCATCTAGTTCCAAGAGTCCATGTCTCTACCTTGTCTGAGATCGTGCGACATGCACATGCCATTTGCCATACCCAAACAGAAGTTCACTATCCCTAGTCCTGAGTCAGCCTGTCTCTCTGTCTCTCTCTGTCTCTCTCTCCCTCTCCCTTTCTCTCTCTCTCTAGTAAATTCAGATAATGCCTAGTCCAGGAGCATGGGTCCCACAATGAAAAGATCCACATAACCAAATCCCAGTATACCCAGCACTTCCATCAAACAGAATCTTGATATCTGAATTAAACATTTCAAACTAGTCATGGTGGCGCACAAATTCAATCTCAGCACTCGGAAGGCTGAAGCAGGAAGACAAGTCTGAAGGCAACTTGAGCTACATCATGAGTTCAATGCCATCCTGGATTACCTGGCAAGGGTTTTTTTAAAAAAGCCAACCCTGACAGCACAGGCCTGTAGCTCGAGCTACGCTATAAATTAAGGAAGGATAATCATAAGTTCAAGCCCTATCTGGGCTACTGAGTAAATTCAGTGTGAGCCTGGGCAATTTAAAAATTTAAAAAGTGGAGCTGGAAAGATGGCTCAGTGGTTAAGAGCACTTGCTACTCTTTCTCAGGATGGAGGTTTAGCGGCCAGCACCCACATGGCAGGTCACAACCATCTCTAACTGGGATGTTTAGGTCAGCTGGGAATAGAGGTCAGTGGCAGAACTTAGCCTCAGGAAGCCCTGGGTTCAGTCTCCAAAACTGGAAAGCTGTAACAGGCAGAACCCTCAGTTTGTGTGGTTGTATTGTACAAGAGACAGGGAATTTTTTTGGTGTTTGTTTTTTTGTTTTTTTGTTTTTTTGAGACAGGGTTTCTCTGTGTAGCTTTGGAACCTGTCCTGGAACTCACTCTGTAACCCAGGCTGGCCTCAAACTCACAGAGATCCGCCTGGCTCTGCCTCCCAAGTGCTGGGATTAAAGGCATGCGCCACCACTGCCCATTGAAAAAGGGAATTTTAAAACAGATTTATGTATATGAATGTTTTGTCTGCACACCAGAAGAGGTCATTGGATCCCATGCAACTACAGTTATAGGTGGTAGTGAGCCACCATGTGGGTGCTGGGAATTAAACTCAGGACCTCTGAAAGAGCAGCCAGTGCTCTTAACTGATGAGCCATCTCTCCAACCCAGAAAAGGGGAATCTTAAAAGCACATACTACTATTAAGCATATTGACTAAATTAATTTATGAAACTGGAAACTGCCTGTCCCGTTAAGACATAAAGTAGAAAATAAATCAGTGAACATGAAAGTGGACTATCTTGGGGCTGGAGAGATGGCCCAGCACCGAAGAGCACATCTGCTCTTGCAGAGGACCTGGATTCAATCCCAGGACCCGCATGGCGGCTCCCAAGCATCTGTAACTGCAGCTCTCGGGGATTTAACAACTTTGGCCTTCAGAGGCACTGGCACTCATGTGCACATAACCCCCATGAAGCACACATAATTATGTAGAACTAAAAAGAAATACCTTTTCAAATGAAGCGTCTTATTTAATTACATGTGGGGATACTCTGTAACACCAGCACCAGGGCAGGTCTGCATGTTTGAGGTCAGATCCTGTCTAAAAAACAAATGCCAGCACCCCAATAATCTAAGCATTTGGAAAGCTGAGGCTGGACTGCTTAGAGCTTGAGGCCAGCCTGGGCTACAACGTGAGCTCTTGCCCTGAAACAAACCAACAATGGTGGCGCATGCCTTTAATGCCAGCACTGGGGAGGCAGAGGCAAGTGAATCCCTGAGTTCAAGGCCAGCCTGGTCTACACAGCAAGTTCCAGGAGAGCCAGTGCTACACAGAAAAACGCTGACTCAAAAAGTAAAACCAGGGGTTGGGGATTTAGCTCAGTGGTAGAGTGCTTGCCTAGCAAGCACAAGGCCCTGGGTTCGGTCCTCAGCTCCAGGGGAAAAAAAAAAAAATAATAATAATAATAAATAAATAAGTAAATAATAACTTAAATCCTTCGCCCATGATTTATTTATTTAAAATGTACCTAAGTTTTTGCTATATTAACAGTCCATGTGTAATTTCAACAGAATGGTAAGCAGTGCCTACAATTTCACTTCATGCAGAATTAGGTCCTCTTTTCCTCTGATTCTTGCAACAATTTCACCTTTTCTTTGAATTCCTTCTGCTCTCTGGAATACTGTTCAAATATGGGCTGATAAATATACACTCCTCCAGCAATTCCAAGGAAGGTGGCGAAGAGCAGTTGCGGGAGAGTCACTCTCCGGAGCATTGCTGTGACACGCAGTGACCACCCTCTGGGTGGCTATGTTCCAAAATTCCGCGGACAGCCAACCTCTTCAGATCTGTTTCCAAGAAAGGGGACAGAAAGGGACACTTAGTACAGGAGCCTTTAAGACAGATCATATTTTAAAGGACGGGGCATGGGGAGGGGTGCACCGGCGTGCAGGTGCCTTCGGAGGCCAGAAAGTGTCAGGGTCCCTGGTGCAGAAGTGACAGGCAGTTGTAAGCTGTCCAACACAGGTGCTGGGAACTGAACTGCCGTCCGGACGAGCAGTGCTCACTCTTAACCCCCGAGCCATGTCCCCAGCCCCACAGGTGCACTCGAAAAGACTTATTACTATTTTGCTCTGGTGTGAATGTTTTTGTAATATTTAAGAATCACAAACTAGCCAGGCGGTGGCGCATGCCTTTAATCCCAGCGCTCAGGAGGCAGAGCCAGGCGGATCTCTGTGAGTTCAAGGCCAGCCTGGGCTACAGAGCAAGTTCCAGGAAAGGCTCCAAAACTACACAGAGAAACCATGTCTCGAAAAACAAAACAAAAAAATCACAAACTAAATCCCAGCACTCAGGAGGCAGAGGCAGGTGGTTCTGAGTTCTAGGTCAGCCTGGTCTACAGGTCAAGTTCCTAGACAGCCAGAAATACACAGAGAAACCATGTCCTGAAAAACAAACAAACAAACAGAATCACTAACTAATAAATACAAATACATAGGGGTTTGCAGGACAGCATATAGACTTACTATGGAATATTTTCCAAGATTTCAGTTTAGTTGCCAATAGTTAAAAATCATATTTTATATTAAAATTTGTATTTCCTCCAGGCATAGTAGCACATGCCCATATCCCCAGCACCCAGGTTCAGCCAAGAGCATAGGGAGCTCAAAGTCACCCTTTGGCTACATTGCCAGTTTGAGGCCAGTCTGGATTCCATAACAGGTCTCCAACAAACAAAAAGCAAAACAAATCAACAAAAACCTTAAAAAGGAACCTGTAGGGAATGAAGGTCAGCCAGTGGTGTGAGACAGCTAAAGACTCTTCTATTACAGAATGGTCCCTGAGTTATTTCTGTCATTGTTGCCTGTTCTTGCTGGTTCTCTGGGCTGGGCAGACTGCTCTGAGGTTACAATGCTACCTTCCCCTCCCAAGGGCTAGGATGGCAGGGGTATGCCACTAACACGGCCGTGCTGGTCTCCTCGGTGGTTAAACTGGTACCTTTTAAAAGGGCAAAAGGATGGGAAGGGATGGCAGCCACCTTTCAAATCACGCAAATCTTCTGACTCCAAAAGATACCTGAAGGAAAGTCAGCCATGACTGTCTGTTTTAATCTTCTCTAAGGAATAAAAAGGGAGGGACACATGACTTTCCATCATTCCTTCTGCAGTAGTTGTAGTTTTAGCAAGCTTTATGACAAAAACAATTTTAAGAGGCTATAAACTTTATTGAGCCGGGAGTGGCAGTACGTGCCTTTAATCCCAACACTATGTGGGGGATGGGTAGGCACAACACAGCTCTGTGAGTCTGAGGCCAGTCTGGTTTACATAGTGAGTTCCAAGCCAGCCAAGGCTACATAGTACGACCCTACCTCAAAAGAGCAAAGCAATATAAAACAAAACAACAAAAACTTTGTTGAGTTCCTTTTGATACTTTAGGAGACATCAAATGCAAATCACTGTATGTCTTTTTTGAGAAAAACAGAATGAAGATTTTGCTTCTAGTTCTAACAACTGAAAATAGTGGAAACTCACAAATGGACACATCTTCTAGAAAATGTCAATCACCTCAGCATCTGGGTAAGATGTCAGTGAATGAGAAAAGCAGAGTGAAGGAGCCAAGCTCTTTCTGGACTCTAGTATGGAGTCTTAATCCAGGCCCTAGTCACAAACATCAGCAGCAGCTCACTGTCCTCTAACAGCTCTCAAGTGTAATTGAAGCTCACCAGGGAAAGGAAGGCGAGCTTTTTCCTAAAGTATACAGCGGACCACACAAATATGACAGTTTTACCATCTGGCATTGCAATGGCGAAGAAGAGTTTAAAAACAAACAAAAAAAAGGAACAAAAGCCAGAGGCCATTTGAACCTGTTTCTCATGCACTGTTTTTTGTTGTTGTTAAATATGAGTCTTCTGGACCTCACTTTGCTCAGTAACCCCGTCGTCTGTCCGTCCCCCGCCCCTCGCCCCCGCCCCCGCTCCCGCCCCTTAAAGACGGTAACTGAACCTTGGGTTTCATGTACTGAAGTTTCCAGGACAAAAACAAAACACTTTTGTTAAAAAACACTCTAGAAGACAAGCCATTGATTAGAACTAGTGACTATGCAGAACCAAGATGCTGCAGGCCCCAAGCCAAATTACCTTGTGTTATCTTTAAACCCCTACATAGTCTTTTTTTTTTTTAAGTCATCTCTATGTGAGCGAACATCTTTATAACTATCAGGTGGAATCCCCTCCCTCCCACCAACCCAAAAGCTACACATGTAAGCAGAGGGCAGCTGAGGCCTGAAGCACAGATGCCATCTACTTGATGTTTCCACCAAC